ATGTCCTAAGGACGAATCCAATGTTCTTAAAACATACAGCCCATGTGCTAACACAGGACAGCCCCAGCCAGAAATTTTCTAAGAGCATGTCGTGGAAACCACAAAAGGCTATTCTAACATTGTTCGGTAGGCCTATAGGCACGCCAGGACGCTTCGCCACTGCTTGAGGTAGGGGGAGGGGGCAGGCTTCTTGCAAGGAGGCCGCTTCTCAGCAGGCGCCGGCCTTGTCTTTATAGATCTGGCCCGCGCTTTCTTAAAAGCAGGGGTGCTTCCAAGAAGCCTGTCCCCCTCCCCCATACCCCCCTCTGCGCGTTGCCGAAAACGGCGCATCCCGCGCCCAGACCTAGACAAGCGCGTTCCACGACTCGCAAAATAACTAACTGCTCGCAGAATGGTCTAATCCGCCGCGGGGGGCCTGCGATCCACTACACGAGGCAGGCATGTGGTTTTCGGACGTTTGCAAATCGGCACCTTGCGAGATCGGCAGGTTCGTGTCGTGCCGACTTCGGCGTTGGTACCTGACACCGCGGGGATCGTTCAACCTTGAACGATCGGCCGTGAGCCGAAACTCCAGCTCGTTTAACGCCGACCGGCTCTGCGTCGCGGGCGGCGTTCCACGTTGAACGCCAGTGGCGGCGCCGCCGCTGGTCGACACGACGCGAACCTGCCGCAGAGGAGCGCGCTCGGTTGAGGACCCGCGCCGCCGCCGCAGCCCCGCCGCAGACGCCGCCGAGCACGCCGTGGCGCACCCTCGCGCCGAGGGTCGCCGCCCCGCGAGGGGCTGCGGTGGAATCGCCGCGGTGGCGCGTCGCCGCGTCGCGCCGCCGCGGCAGGCAGGCGGCCGCGGGATCGGGCAGCACCAAGTCGGCAGCTCGGACCGCACGAATCTCGCCCTCGCTCAGACGTCCGCTCCCCGTGCATTTTTCGGCCTCGTGCGCGGAGTGCTTCGCGCGCTGATCCAAGATGCTCCTCGATGGTCCTCGCCGAGAGAGAATGCACCCGCCCGAGCGATGCCGAGAACTGTGCATCGGATCGGCCTGCACCGACACGGGGCCAGGAGCGAGTCGGATCGGCCGAGCCAGGATGCACAACAGCGCAGTGCAAGCATCGGATCGCCCGAGCATCGGAATCGGACCGACTCGGCCCAGCCGGAGTCGATATCGAACCGGATCGATCGGATCGAAATGGACCCTGGGCAAGTGCTGGGTGGCGGCGACCGCGATGGCGCTCGTATCCGGTGGTGGCGGCAGCGGCGGTGTGAAGCTAGCAGCCTCCAGGCAGGGGGCCGGGGCGAGGATTGACGGGGGAGGTGTCAACCCCTGCTCCCGACTTCGCGGGGTTTCCTGGGTGGAGCAAGAATGGAGGCCCAACTGGGAGATACGGTCTAAATGGGGGGCGTCCGTCCTGAAGAGCGGTGCGCCCGAACGGCCCCCTGGGGGTGCATTCCCGAACTTCCCGCCTGTTCTGAACGGCCTGATGTTTCGGAAAAAAACGCACGTGGATTGGATTGGGGGCGAGAACTCGCCTGCGAAGGACGGCTTCGATGGGGCACGGCCAGAAGAAGAGCGGAGGGGCGAGCTGCGGAGAGACAGGGTCATTTCACGTGGCACGGGAAGATACGACTGGCGCATGCTTCTATCTTGAACCCCTGGCTTTCGGAACCCCCTTGTGCCCAGCAGTAGGCATCTTCGTCAGGGACCAACAGATTGGCACGGCGACCAGACTGCTGCTCTGCAGTAGTCCTGGAAGGATCCGAATCCAGATGAAGTGCTCTCGCGTGATCTCTTTGATTTGTTGTGCTACTCGCTCCTTTCCGAGGAAAAGCAGGAACGCTGAGGGGACGATCGCGACGATGCACCATCATCACACGCGCTCTGTAGCAAAGTCGCGGCAAGTCCGAGGAAGTACTGCTCTGGCCCAGACGGGATGGCCCAAGCAGTCACCTCGGCCAGCTCGTTTCGGGGGCGTCTAACTAAGAGGGGAGTTCGCAAGTCCTGGTCCGAAGCACGTTCGCGCCCCAAGGGGGACCAATTTTGGAACCAGAAGGGGTGCCGTGAAATCTGGGGAGATATCCTGGTCCTGATCATGAGATCCATACCTCCCTGGTCCCTCGTACTCTAAACATCGTTTAACCGATCCCCATCCCCAGCGGCGTGGCCTGGGCCCCACTGGCCGATTTGCCCCCCCTATATGGGGATATAGGCCGTTCCCTTCGGGGTTCGAGGGGTGTATCCCCAACTGGGGGGGTAATTTGGTGGGGGTGTCAAAGGGGATTGGGATGGGGATGGGGATTGCTTCAACGAGACCGGTAAATCACCCCCTCTTGGACGCCCCTGGTGGTTTGACCCCGTCGGGTGTTCTCTCAGAGCGAGCGAGCCGGGGCGAGGCGACACGGGCCCACCGTGGCGCGTGTCAAGGCGAGCGGCGGGGCGCCCGGCCGCCCGAGAGGGAGAGAGGCCGCTGGGCGGGCGCCCCGCGCGCCGCGCGCGCGGGCGCCCTCCTGGGCGTAGTCCGTGAGGAAGATCACGCCGATCAGGTGCACCGCCAGGAAGCTCCACATGAACCTCCCCATCTGCCGACTGCCGGCCGCCCCCCCCCGGGCGGCGCTCCCCCGCCGGGCCGCCCCGCGCAGGGAAACCGATGGGCCTTGTTTCGCACAGCCACCACCAGAAGTTGGAGGTGGGAAGGAGGAGGAGGAGGAGGAGGAGGACGAGGAGGAGGAGGAGGTGGAGGAGAAGGTGGAGGACTCCCTCCCCCTCCAACTTCTGGCGGTGGCAGTGGAAGACAGGCCCATCAAAAAACATAACAACAACAAAAACGCGGACGAGCGGCGAGCGCACCTGGAGCCACGCCCTCGCGGTCTGGCCTCCGGGGGGGCGCGAGAGGTGCCGCGCAGGCGCGGTCGCACGGATGCGCGCCGCGCGGGGCATCCGGGAGCAAACGCCCCGCATCAGCGGGGTCGCGGCCCAGAGGCTCGGACAGCAAGGCCGCGGATCCACGTCGTTCATTTATAATCGCGCCCATCTCTAATTATGCTCGCTCCTAGCTGTTGCTGGCCTCCTAGTGGCCAGGAAGAGGCCCAGGATAGAACAATTAGGAATGAAAGGATCTCGGCCCCCCAAAAGATCAAAGAAGTTTCGAAACATTAGAAATGAACCATGTGTGCTGATACTGTGGATGCTAGTCCACAAGAAACCTTCCACAAGAAACCCAAACCTGAGACCCCAAGACGCACATGGAGTTTGGGTGCGGGAAAGTCATGCTCGTCATGGCAGAAGCATCGAAGCCCAAGAAACCCAGTGGACACCCTGGAGGCGAGCAGGCTAGTTTTCGGCACAGGCCTCCACTGCATGCTTTTCGCCCAAATGCAGCCCCCGATCTGTTTCTTCCCACCCGGTGGCCCCACAGCGCACCATGGCACGCAGCCCGTGCCGGTGTCGCCCACTGCCGCAAGCGGAGGCCAGAGTCACGGCCTGCCTCCAGGGGCTGCTCGTTGCCCGCAGCCTCGAGCCCTGCCAATGTCTCCTCCTGCTCAGAGCCCCCTCCCCCCTCCCCCTCCCCCTCCCCCTCCCCCTCCCCCTCCCCCTCCCTCCCCCGACGCCGACGCCGACGCCGACGCGACGCCGCCGCCGCCGCCGCCGCCGCCGCCGCCGCCGCCGCCGCCGACGACGACGACGACGACGACGACGACGACGACGACGACGACGACGACGACGACGACGACGACGACACACGGGCGACGGACGGCGTCGGCGACGGCGACGGTAGCGACGATGCTGGCGGCGGCGGCGACGCCAAGAGGACGATAACGGCAGCGCCGGCGCTGCCGCCGCACGACGGCGACGGCGACGGCGCCGCAGACGAGGGGCGCCTTCGGGTCATCAGCCGGGTCTCCGGCGGCCGCTCGTGGCATGATCGGGACACCGCTGAAACGCTCTCGGCGAGGCGCAGCTGCCGGAGGGCCCCCCAGGGCGACAGAGCCTCCAGGGACCGACGAAGCCGCCCGAAAGCTCAAGAGAACGACGACGACGTCGACGACAGCGACAACAACGACGACGACGACGACCACTACGACGACGACGACGACAACGGAGGCGGCGACGACGACGACGACGACGACGGCGACAGCGACGGCGGCGGCGACGACGACAGCGACGCCCCCCCCCCCGCGGCGAGCCAGGTGGCGGGGAACAGGTCCGCGACTGAGGCAACGACGCCACAGGCGGCGGCCCCAGCCACGACCCTCAGCGCGCGCTGGGCGCGCTCTGGGTCCTGCCCCAGGGGGCGCCGCTCGGGGAGGTGGGGGGCTAGATAGATCGAGCGATGCTGATGGCAAATATCGATGACGCGACGTCGTCGTCGTCGTCGTCGTCGTCGTCGTCGTCGTCGTCGTCGTCGTCGTCGGCGGCACCGGCAGTAAGGCCTTCGCAAGATCGATCAAGCGATGCTGCTGACAGAGGTCACTCGCCCTTCTGTGACCAACACGATACGCAGCCAGAGCCAGTCCTGTCTCAGCACTGCCTGCTGTCGGGACGGCTGCGGAATGGGCGGCGGCGGCGGCCTCGGGTCTCCGCCGTGTGGCTTTTCAATCCTGGCGCCGTCCCTCGATGTCGGCCTCTGAGGCCCGTCGTCTCGGGGGCAGCCAAGAGGGGGGTGTCCAAGAGGTGGGGGCGCAACTCATGGCCGGCGGCATGTGTGCGGCCCAGGGGGGGTCCAGGGACGCATTGAAATCAGAAGAGGCGCCATGAAGTCTGGAGAGATAGCATGGCCCCCGCCATGATATCCCCCCCCCCCTTGTCATCACCCCATTCTGAGCCTGATGGGCCTGTTTTTCACCACCACCACCACCACCATAAGTTGGAGTGGGAGGGGGTCCTCCTCCTCCTCCGCCTCCTCCTCCTCTTTGTCCTCCACCTCCTCCTCCTCCACCTCCTTCCCGCCTCCAGTTTATGGCCCCCGCCATGATATTCCCCCCCCCCTGGTCATCACCCCCCCTCTTTGCCGCCCCCAAGTCGTCGGGGACGATCCAACATGGACCCGGCACGGACAGCTGCCCCCGAGCAAGGGGGCTGGGGCCTGTTTGGCCAGTTTTTGCCCAGCCGCGCTCGGCCGCGTCGACGGGGGGGGGCCGAAAGCCCGCGAGGAGGAGGAGGAGGAGGAGGAGGAGGAGGAGGAGAAAGGGAGGGGAAGGAGGAGGGAGGAGGAGGGAGGGAGGAGGAGGAGGAGGAGGAGGAGGAGCGGACTGGAGCAACCACGTCGTCGCATGTCTGGGGCGACGGCGGCGACGACGACGGCGATGCCGCCGCAGCGGCACCCATGGCGCGCTGTGTGCGCGGAGGGTTTCTTCCCCTCGGGCCGCCGTCAGGTGGGTGTGCGGAGGCCACCACGGCTGGACGCGGCCGGAGCTTCTCCCCGCCGCGGTCGGGTGCGGCACAGCGGAGGAACGAAGACTTGGCCAGGGTGGATCCCGGCGGGGGGCTGGCTTCGGGAGGGTGGCAAGTACCACCCGCCATTACCACCCCATTGCCACCCGCCCGATGGCTGGGGGCTAGAGCGGGACGGCTTTGGGCTGGGGTTGGAACGAGAGGAGGGCGGCTTTCAAATACTACGCGATTGGGGGCCTCGTGGGAGGGGCTGGGCGAGTCCCAAGAAGGCCTTCCTTCGGGGGCGGGGGCGCTTCTACGATGCCCCCTGCCTTCTTGAATGCCGCCCCCCGCACTATACGCCAGCAATAGACTACGCAAGGCTGAAGACTGGTCCTGGGGATGGGGCCGAGTTTTGATGGGGTCGAGATCTGGTGGCTCCCAGAGGCCCGCGAAAAGAGCCAACGACGTGCACCCCCCCCCACCCTGCACTCGTTTCTTCTCCTAAGGGCGCTACGACACGCCCCATCCCTTTCCTCTGGATGCTCGTGCTCACCTGTTCGCTCGGTCACTCATTCGCTCGCTCACTCAGTCCGGCTCCACATTCGCCCCCTCCCCCACCTCACTCGTGCTTCTTCTCTTTCAAGCAAGGCGGCCGGGCTTCCGGACATCCGGCGTCTTCACGTTTCGAAGACGTGATGCTGGACATGTCGACCGCTGCCCGGGGATTCGTTTGTCATCCGGGGCCGTTGTGTGATGGTCGTAGGGCCCGATGCGGGACTCCGAGAAGACGAAATCGAGGAAAACCACCTGCGCTGAACGGCTCCCTGCGTCGGTTGGCGGCGCGCAGGAAGGGGGGGAGTGACTGGGATGATCTTCTAAGCAGGCAAGGTGCTTCTAAGAAGGCAGGGGACTGATTAGGAGCAGGAGGAGGAGGAGGAGGAGCAGGAGGAGGAAGGGAGGAGCAGGAGGAGGAGGAGGAGGAGGAGGAGGAGTAGGAGGAGGAGGAGTCCTCCCTGCTTCCAAGTTCCTAGGAGCCCTCTTAGAAGCCTCCGTGCCCTCCGAAGGTCCCCCTGCCCCTCCGGGAGGTCCGCCTTGCCTTCCTGCACCCGCCTGGGAAAGTAATGCAGCTTGTGCAGGCCGTGCCGAAGAATCGTGCATGTGACTTCCTTGGGGGACGCTCTTTGTCCTGGGTCCGTTTCTGACAGCCCCGAGCCCCGAAGGCGGCCCCAGGAGGCAAACCAAAAACAAAGAACCGAAGGTTTCAAACAACTCGAGCACTCAATTTGCGTGTGACTTTCCCAAGGCAGAATGCCGCGCCCCTCGCGCCACCCCGCGCGCCGCCACTCCGGAGGCCTGAGCCCCCCGTGCTTCCTTCGGGGGAACGTCAAGGGGGACCGGCTCGGGGGGTGAAACATCGACCAAGCCCTTGCAAACGGGGCGTTAGTAAACGGGCCGGTAGCTGGGAGTGCGTTTTCAATGGTGTTTGCAAGAAACTGGTTTGCCGCGAATAAGTGCGAGGTACACCCCCCCGCCCAGAGTTATGATGATGTATCGACGTTCTTGTCGTCCCGATGTATCACGCACTAGCGCGAGGTAAATCCCCTGTCGCCCCGTTCTCGCTCGGAGAGGCCCCTTGACTACCGCCCCGTTTACTAACGCCCCGCTTGCAGGGGCCTGGGCTGACCTGGAGTCGGGGGCACATCAATGATAGGTTGGCGATAGGCTTAGGTCGGGCGTGTCTTCCCACAAATACCAAGAATACTTAAACTGATCGTTGAACATTCCTCCTGTAGAGGGACAGGCCTGACTGAACCCGAGTGATCCCGAAAACCACCAGCTCACGGGGGGAGCATCGACATGGAATTGGCGATACAGCCAGCCCGTATCCTAAGGACGCGCGATGAGGATGCAGCGGCCTTGGAAGGCCATTTTGAAACTGCTCGAGCGGGGGGCGCGGCCAGCGAAAGTGGCCAAAGATGGGCCGAAGGGGCAAGGATGCAAGGGCGCATTTGGGAGGGCTGCCCATCCTTCTGATGCGGGTTGACGGCACATCGCCGAGAGATCGGCGATGGGCCCCCGACGGCAACCCCCTCACGTTTCTGGGCGGCATTGGACGATCGGGCCCATGGCGGAGATGACCCCTGAGCCTCGCTAGCTGGGGAAACCAAAAGTAGGCGACGAGCCCAGGGGGGAAATGAGAAGGAGAAGGCCTTCTCAGAAGGCCGCGGGACTTCTTAGAAGTCCGGGGGGCTTCTGAGACGTTTCCTTGGCCTATTTCGAATACAGACAGAACTTCTCAGAAGCCCTCTCAGAAGTCCAGAAACTTCTCAGAAGCCTCGGAAGCCCCGCCCCTTCTCATTTCCCCCCCGCGCCCGCCGCCGAAAAAGGTACCGATACCACTACTCCATGGACCTCTCATGGGGTGAGTTCTGACCAGAACTTCGAGGAGACTCCAGCGGCGGCGACGGGGGCCTTCCGGGAGGCCCCCAAAAGGGGAAAGCGAGGGAAGGGCCGCGGCATGGATACCTTTTCCTCCCCTGAGCCATCGGCTCCCCTTGGTTTGCGGTTTTCGGATCATGGCTCGGCTCTCTGGCCGCCCTTCGGGACGAGTCCCGGCACCCCAGGAGGGCTCTCGGCGAGGCGCAGCTGTTTGGGTGACCCAAAAGGGGGTCCAGCTGTGCAACACATTTGGGGCAATTATATTGCAAATGTATTGCGCCGGAGAATTGCGTCGCACTGCGTTGCAAGGAATGTATTGCGCGCGAAAGCACAGCAATACATTTGCGCCCCGAAATGTATTGCACGCCCCAAAGGTATTGCAATCACGCAAATCTCTTGCACCAGATCTATTGCACCATCCCCTTGTCGCTGGACCTGGACCCCCTCTTGGGTCAACCCGAAGCTGCTGGAGAGCACGCTGAGGCTGGAGAGCCGCCGAGAGCTACGACGAAACCGTCCGAACCCCCCGAACCCAAACCTCGAGCCTCCTCCTCCTGCTCCTCCGCCTCCTCCTCCTCCGCCTCCTCCTCCTCCCCCATCCTCCCCTCTTCCTCCTCCTCCTCCTCCTCCTCCTCCTCCTCCTCCTCGTTCTCGTCCTCCTCCTCCTCCTCCTCCTCCTCCTCCTCCTCCTCCTCGGCCGAGCTGGCTCAGGCTGTTGTGGCCTGATCTTGCAAGCGCGCACTTCAGAGCGGCTCGTGCTTGCGAGCCAGCCTTGCAACACGTGCTCGACTGGCCCATGGCACCGCGGGGCGACGCGCACGGGGATCGAGCTCCCAATGAGACACAGGCGCAGTGGGAGTGTACGGGCAAGTGCGGCGGTTGCCCGAACTACATCTCGAGGGCGGAGTGCAGGGCCTGTGGGGCTCGCGGCCCGCCCTCCGTGCTGGCGGCCATCAAGGCGCGCGGGTCCCTCAGCTCCGGTGCGGCCCCATGGCGCGGTGGCGGAGGCGGAGGCACGGCTACGCCGCAAGGCAAAGCGAAGGCCAAGCCTCAGCAGAGCCGTGCGCGGGGTGCCCAGTGGCCCAGCGGCACGGACTGGAGCGCCCACTTCAAGTCGGAGTCCGTGCAGGGAGGGGGCAAAGGGAAGCCGCGGGCCGTGGAGGACCTCAGCCTGTCGGAGCTCATTGCAGCCACCAACAAGGCGCTGGTGGCGGCGGGCAAAAACGCTCTCACCGAGGGGCAGCAATTCGTGGCGACCCTCCAGCCGCCCAGGCAGGAGGTCGTTGACCTCTCCACCAGGCCGCTGGCCCAGGTGCTCCAGCGGAATGCTCTCAAGAAGAACCAGGTGGAGAAAGCCAAGCTGCGTGTGGCGGAGCGGGCCCAGGAGCTCGCAGACGCGCAGGCGGCCTACGACGACGCAGAGCTGCACCAGCTCCGCGAGCATGAGGCGCCCATGTGGGTCCCGTGGCCGATGGTACCAGGGGCCCCGCCAGCTTCCACCAGCACGGGGTTTTGGTACCCGTCCAGGACCTTGCCCGAGTTGCGCGCCTGCATGGTTTTGTTTCGCCCGATTCTGCGGTTGAATGGGCTGAAGAATGCAGGCGCGCTAAGCGTGCGACCAAGGCCACGGAGTCGTGGCCACTCGTAGGCAACTAAGCCTACGTGACGCCGAAGTGTCGGCAGGCGGACTTTGTCCGCCCTACCCCATTCCACTCCTCCTCCTCCTCCTTCTCCTCCTCCTCCTCTTCCTCCTCCTCCTCCTCCCCCTCCTCCTCCTCCTCCTCCTCCTCCTCCTCCTCCTCCTCCTCCTCTTTCCAGTCTCGTCCTTGTTTTTGCCCTCGCCCCTCCTCCTCCTCCTCTCCTCCTCCTCCTTCTCTCCTCCTCCCCTCCTCCTCCTCCCTCTCCTCTTTCTCCTCTTCCTCCTCCTCCTCCTCCTCCTCCTCTTCATCCTCCTCCTCCTCCTCCTCCTCCTCCTCCTCCATCCCTTCTCCTGATCGATAACTCTTCCCTGTCGCACCCCGAGGCCAGTTTTTAGGGCGGGCAAGGCGTTTCGCCCGAAACTTCCTCACCACTTATGACTCTGAGCCTTAAAACGTGACAACAGTTTCACAGATGGAGGGCGGCTCGCTTTCAAAATGTGGCTCTCGCCTTAGCGCCGCGCACATTCGTTAACAAAAATGCAAGAGCTTCACGGATTGAGGGCGGGTGGTTTTCAAAATGTGGCTCTCGCCTTAGCGCCGCGCAGCACAAATGCAAGAGCTTTACGGATTGAGGGCTGGTGGTTTTCAAAATGTGGCTCTCCCCTTAGCGCCGCGCACATTCGTTTCAAACATTTGCAAGCGCTTCACAGATTGAGGGAGGGTGGTTTTCAACATGTGGCTCTCGCCTTAGCGCCGCACACATTCGTTAAACCACAAACAATTGCGCAGAGTTTCACGGACTGAGGGCGGGCCGTTTTCAACATGTGGCTCTCGCCTTAGCGCCGCGCACATTCGTTTTCAACATTTGCCAGGGAGTTTCACGGATTCTCATGACCAACGTACCAGAAATCTCGTTTAGGAAGGATTCAGGATTACGCGGGCGCAACGGTTATGTTGTTATGCTATTTCGCTGTGTCTGAAGTCCCAAAAATGGCGCTCTGGCACGATTCTGGATCGTCAAGACGCAGCAGTCAGGTTGATACGTGGCGTTGGAATCCCGAAAACAATATGTTGGCATGCTTCAGGGTTTTCAAACTGTTGTCTTCAAAAGAAGCAGTTCCCTCAATTGAAATGAATCGTTGCGGGGGCCAATGAAGAGGGAGCTTGGAAGGATGATTAATTCCATCATCCTTGATGACCCTTGGTTTTACACTGGTCCTCCTCCTCCCTCTGACTCCCTCTCCTCCCTTTCCTCCCTCTCCTCCTCCTCCTCCTCCTCCTCCTCCTCCTCCTCCTCCTCCTCCTCCTCCTCCTCCTCCTCCTCCTCCTCCTCCTCCTCCTCCTCCTCCTCCTCCTCCCCCTCCCCCTCCCCCTCCACCTCCTCCTCCTGGACCCGCGCCGCCCCTTCCCTCCGGGTACTCGTGCTCGTCGCTGTACACGGGCGGCCCCGTGTCTGGAGGGACGGGGGCCAGCCTGGCCACCGGGAGGCCGCGCGGCGCGGCCAGCCAGAGTCGGCCGTCGTCGGCGTCGTCGGTCGCACAATCTTCGGTCGTCCGTCCATCCGACCATCGGGCGTCATCATCACAATCATCATCATCACCATCACCATCATCATCATCATCATCATCATCATCATCATCATCATCATCATCATCATCAACATCATCATCATCAACATCATCGTCATCCTCATCATCGTCATCGTCGTCGTCGTCCGTCGCTGTCGTCGTCGTCGTCGCCGCGGTCGCCGCCGCCGCCGGTTCCGCCGCCGTCGTCGTCGTCGTCGTCGTCGTCGTCGTCGTCGTCGTCGTCGTCGTCGTCGTCGTCCGTCGTCGTCGCCGTCCGTCGTCCGTCGTCGTCGCCGTCGTTGTCGTCGTCGTCATCGTCGTCGTCGTCTTCGCCATCGCAGTCGTCGTCCGTCGTCGTCGTCGTCGTCGTCGTCGTCGTCGTCGTCGTCGTCGTCGTCGTCGTCGTCCGTCGTCGTCGCCGTCGTCGTCGTCGTCGTCGTCGTCGTCGTCGTCGTCGTCGTCGTCGTCGTCGTCGTCGTCGTCGTCGTCCGTCGTCCGTCGTCGTCGTCGTCGTCGTCGTCGTCGTCGTCATCGTCGTCGTCGTCTTCGCCATCGCAGTCGTCGTCGTCGTCGTCATCGCCATCGAAGTCGACGTCGTCGCTCGTCGTCGTCGTCGTCGTCGTCGTCATCCGTCGTCGTCGTCGTCGTCGTCGTTGACGCCGTCCGTCGTCCGTCGTCCGTTGCCCGTCGTCCGTTGTCGTCGTCGTAGTCGTCGTCGTCGTCGTCGCCACCGACGTCGTCGTTGTCATCGCCGTCCAGGACGTCCGTCGTCCATCGTCGTCGTCCGTCGCCGTCGTTGTGGTCGTCGTCGTCGTCGTCGTCGTCGTCGTCGTCGTCGTCGTCGTCGACTTCGGCCTGCGTCCGACGTCCACCGTCCGTGGTCGTCGTCATCGTCACCGTCGCCACGGTCGTCGTCGTCGCCGTCGTCCAGGACATCCGTCGTCTGTCGTCCGTCGTCGCCGTCGTCGTCCGACGTCCGTCGTCGTCGTCGTCGTCGTCGTCGCCGTCGCCGTCGTCGTCGTCGTCGCCGTCGTCGTCGTCGACTTCGGCCGGAGTCCGACGTCCACCGTCCGTTGTCGTCGTCGTCGTCACCGTCGCCACGGTCGTCGCCGTCGCCGTCGTCCAGGACATCCGTCGTCCGTCGTCCGTCGTCCGTCGTCCGTCGCCGTCGTCGTCGTCGTCGTCGCCGTCGCCGTCGTCGTCGTCGTCGTCGTCGTCGTCGTCGTCTGCGTGGTCCGCGTCGTCCGTCGTCCAGGACATCCGTCGCCCGTCCGTCGTCCGTCGTCGGGCGTCCGTCGTCCGTCGTAGCCGTCGTCGTCGTCGTCGTCGTCGTCGTCGCCGTCCGTCCGTCGTCGTCGTCGTCGGCGGCAGCTCGTGTCCCACCTTGTGCCACAACTCGTCGTCGTCGTCGTCGTCGTCGTCGCCGACCGTCGTCCGTTGTCCGTCGTCCGTTGGCCGTCGTCCGTTGTCCTCGTCGTCGTCGTCGTCGCCGTCGTCGCCGTCCAGGACGTCCGTCGTCTGTCGTCCATCCGTCGTCCGTCGTCTGCCGTCCGTGGTCGTCGTCGTCGTCGCCGTCGTCGTCGTCGTCGTCGTCCCTCGTCCACCGTCCGTTGTCGTCGTCGTCGTCAGCGTCGCCACGGTCGTCGTCGTCGTCCAGGACATCCGTCGTCCGTCGTCCGTCGTCCGTCGTTCGTCGTCCGTCGTCGTCGTCGTCCGTCGTCGTCGTCGTCGTCCGTCGTCCAGAACGTCCGTCGCCCGTCCGTCGCCCGTCCGTCGGTCCTCCGTCGTCCGTCGTCCGTCGCCGCCGTCGTCGTCGTCGTCGTCGTCGTCGTCGCCGTCAACGTGTCAGGACAAGCGCGTGTATCCAACGCCATCGCCAACGCCGTCGTCGTCAGCGTCGACGCCGTCGCTGTCATCGTCGTTTGTTGATGGTCGTCGTCGCCGTCGTCGTCGTCGTCGTCGTCGGCAGCTCCTGGCCCACCCTATGCCACAACTCGTCGTCGTCGTCGTCATCGCCGTCCGCCGTCCGTCGTCCGTCTTCCGTCCGTCGTCCGTCGTCCGTCTTCCGTCCGTCTTGCGTTGTCCGTCGCCCGTTGTCGTCGTCGTCGCCGCCGTCGTCGTCGCCGTCGTCGTCGTCGTCGTCCGTCGTCGTCATCGTCGTCGCCGTCGAAAACGTCTGGGGTCCGTCCATTGTTCGTCCTCCGTCGTCCGTCGTCCGTCCTCGTCCTTGTCGTCCGTCGTCGTCGTCGCCACCGTCATCGTCCGTGCTCCGTCGTCTTGCACGTTCGTCGCTCGTCCGTCGTCCGTCGTCCGTCGTCGTCGTCGCTGTCGCCGTAGTTTCGGCTCAAGGCAACCAGTGAACGAGGAGTCGCTGTTGTGCGCCCCCGTTCACCCCAGCAGTTTGCTCTCCGCGCGCACGTCGCGAGAGAGCTCACGAGAGAGATCTCGCGTCGTTGATGGCAGAGATGCAGGCCCAGGAAGACCGTATGGACTCCTTCGAGAGAGGCTCGAGTGCATCGACGGTGGCCGGATCGGTTGGACGCCCAGGTCTGTGATCTCACGGTGGTCTTACAGACCCCTTGCCAGCATACCTACAGAACCATTAGCAGACTGGAGCAAGCGCTGCTTCATCATCTGGACCTCTACCACTGATGTTCCATCCGTCTCGAGAAGCACCAGGCATACTCCGAGCTTCTTAATAAGTGTCGGGGCGTCACCCCTGCCGACAGCCCCACATCGACCCCCGTCGCGGGCAGCCACCGCGCGCCGAAGGCGCTCCGACCCCCGTCGCGGCGCGACGACGAGGCGAGGTTGACCCCCGTCGGGGGGTACCCCCCCAGGCTTATTAAAAAACCCAGGGCATTGTCACAATGGCGGGCTCTCTTTGCACCAAGGCCTAAGGGAAGGCCGAGAGTCATCTCAGGACCCAGTTGGCTCAGGGTAAGCGCTCTGAGGACAAAGGGATCGCCGAGATTTGCGGCATGGGAGGGTTTCGTGACAGAACGAACATCGTACTTGTGAGTGTGACCAAATGTGGAAGCTATTGCACGCCTGGAACGGTCAGAAGATGCCGTGTCCAGGTGCCAGGAACGGCGAGTTGTGGCATAAGGTGGGCCAGGAGCAGACTGAGTCTGAGCTGCCGACGACGACGACGACGACGACGACGACGCGCGACGACTGACGCGCGACGACGATCAACAACAAACGACGACGAGAACGAGAACGAAAAAGGATGATGACGACGACGGCGTGGACGCTGCCGACGACGGCTTCGGCGACAACGACGCCAGGAAGCTGGCAACACGTGTGGCTGGATGCCCACGTGGGCGGAACATGTGGAGGCCGCGCGCTGGAGACCCACGCGGCAACTCAGCCTGCCCTTCCATGCAACGGCCGGGCGCTGGAAGAGAAATCCGGACACCACCTTGTATCAGGCTCTCGCCCTGGCTGGCCACGTCATGTGTAGAGGGCAAGAGATCCACAGCCATCAGAACCACCCCGACACGCGGAGCCGTTTCCTGAACGCCCCCACTGAAGGAATCGAACAGGCCAGGGCTGTTCAGGAAACGCCACAGGCCGTCTCGTACACGCCAATTGTCCGGTCCGAGCGGTTTTTCCTCCCTTGAATGTGTATCCAGCTTCCTGGTAATGCCGCTTCGGGGATCTTCTGACCCGGGTCAATCCAGACCCGGGTCAATCAGGCCTGCAAAATCCTGCAAGATCCTGCACCCAAACCCGGGTCAATGCGAAGGATCCTGCAGGACCCTGCAGGATCCTGCACCCAAACCCGGGTCGATGCGACCCTGGCGCTGCAGGATCCTGCAGGATGCCGGCGCTCTGGCTAACCCCCGTCTGCACTGACCCCCGTCTCGAGGCTCCCGACCGCTTACACTGACGACGATGCCGGCCGACGACAACCGACGACGACCGACGGCAGCGACGCAACCGGCGCCGATGGGCGCAGCGGCAGCCTTTCGGGCAGCTCGGGCGGCGGCGTCGGGCGCGGCGGTGCGCGCGGCGGCTGCTGCTGCGCCGCCGCCGCCGCGGCCGCGGCCTGGCCCGTGACCCCGCCGATCAGCGCGGGGGGGGGCGGAGAAGGAGCAGGAGGAGGATGATAACTAGAGGAGGAGGAGGAGAAGGAGGAGGAGGAGGAGGAGGCGGAGGAGGAGGAGGAAGAGGTGAAGGAGGAAGAGGTGAAGGAGGATGATGATGAGGAGGAGGTCGGACCTACGTGAGATAGCGCGCCGAGTTCGGTGACGGGGCAGAGCCGAGCGTGGGGAACAGCGGAGGCGCGCCTCTCCAGATCGTATCAGAAACAGGCGACGGGGCGCACGACCCAAGGCACGAGCCGAAGGTCTCGCCCCCATCCCCGCCCGGTTAGGCTAAGTCGGGCATGTCCCCCTACAGGGGGATTTTGGACGAACAACAAAAAGTACGCCAAAAATACTCCCAAATGGTCGAAACTAGTTTAAACATCGTCCCCCGACTATTTTTTGACTTTGCTGCAATATCCCTCCTGTAGACGGACAGGCCCGACTTCAGTGCAGGCCCGTCCGCCCGACCCGCCCGTGAGGTCCGCCCGCTCGAAGCGCGCCCGGCATGGCCCGCCCGCTCGCTTGCGTGGAAGGCCCGACGGCCCCGCCCGTCGTAGCTCCCGCCCGCCCGCCCCCCGCCCGTCGGTGGCCGCCCGACGGGCCCCGCCCGTCGCGGGCCGCCCGCCCGAACCGCCTGTTGGGGTCTTCCTCCTCCTCCTCCTCCTCCTCCTCCTCCTCCTCCTCCTCCTCTTCCTCCTCCTCCTCCCCTCTCGCCCTCCTCCTCCACCTCCTCTTCCTCCTCCTCCTCCACCTCCTCCTCCTCCTCCTCCTCCTCCTCCACCTCTTCCTCCTCCTCCTCCCCTCCTCCTCCTCCTCCCTCCTCCTCCTCTCCTCTTCCTCCTCCTCCTCCCCTCTCGCCCTCCTCTCTCCACCTCCTCTTCCTCCTCCTCCACCTCCTCCTCCTCCACCTCCTCCTCCTCCTCCCTCCTCTCCTCCTCCACCTCCTCCTCCTCCTCCTCCTCCTCCTCCTCCTCCTCCTCCTCCTCCTCCTCCTCCTCCTCCTCCTCCTCCTCCTCCTCCTCCTCCTCCTCCTCCTTCTACGGTCAGCCCGTACATACGTAATAAGGACGCACGGCAAGGGTGCAAGGGCCTGGGAAGGCCAGGTCGACACTCTGCGAGCGGGGCGCGGCCAGCGAGTGCAGCCCAAGAACGGGCCGAAGGGGGACGATGCCAGGGCAACCTTGAAAACACTCGGTTGTCCTTACCATGCGCGTTGACTGTATGTTGGACGCCCGAAGCGGGTACGGAACATGTGGGTACGATGCCCAACAACAAGTGCTGTCCGAAACCGACAGCGGCCGCTGCTCGGCAGGCGGCCTTCTGTCTCAAAGGAACAGCAAGCGCCGCGACGCCGACAGCGAATCCTGTCCAGAAGGAACAGCAGCTGCTTTTGGGCGTTGTGCCCATTGTTTCCGTACCCTTTCGGTTTCCCCGATTCTCGGGGCGTCCAAGAGGGGGGCGTCCAAGAGGGGGGGCGCAAATCATGGCCGGCGGCATGTGCGCGGCCCAGGGGGGGAGGGCAAGGACGCATTGAAATGCGAAGATGCGCCGTAGAATATGGGGAAACATCAAGGCCCGCGCCATGATGTCCCCCCCCTTATCGTCACCCCCCTGTTGGCCGCCCCCCATATCACTGTTTTGCTTCCACAACCAAGAGGGCGTCGACCCACGCAGTAGAGCAATGGCAACCCCACCGTGCCCGTGAGGTGGACCCCGAGGCCCAGCCAAAACAACGCAGCGGACAGCAAAGTTTGGCCGCCCCCGAGCTCCAGCAGAGGGCCTCTCAAAGGCTGGGGGGGCCTCCGAGACGCGCCGCGCCTTCTCAGAGGCCCGCCCGCGCTTCAGAAGGCCGCCCCACTCTCGCGCTCCGCCCTCGCAGGACCGCCGCCAAGCCTCTCCCCTCCCAGACCCCTCCCTCGCCAACCCCCCTCTCCTCTTCTTCCTCCTCTTCCCTCCTCCTCCTCCTCCTCCTCCGCCTCTTCTTCCTCCTCCTCCTCCTCCACCTCGTCCTCCTCCTCCTCCTCCTCCTCCTCCACCTCTTCTTCCTCCTCCTTCTCCTCTACCTCTTCCCTGTTCTCCCACCTCCTCCTCCTCCTCCTCCTCCTCCTCCCTCTCCTCCTCCTCCTCCTCCTCCCCACCTCCTCCTCCTCCTCCCTCCTCCTCCTCCTCCTCCTCCTCCTCCTCCTCCTCCTCCTCCTCCTCCTCCTCTTTCCCGCTTCTCTCAGGCTCACGCGGATCTGGCACGTGGGCGCGGGGGGAAGCCCCCCCTAAAAAAAAACAAGATTCGGCGCCGAGCCGCGCCGTTTCTCGCATGGAAACGGGGCCTGTCGCTAATCCGTGCGCCTTGCGCAACTAATGTTCGTGTTCCCTGCCTCTCCAGCAAACCCTCGGGC